TAGCTCAGTCGATTAAGTGTCCAACTCTTGATTGTAGCTCAGGGCATGATCTCGGGGTTCATGAGATCAAGCCCCATGTTGGGCTCTGTGCTGACAGTGCCTGCTTGGGATTCTCTCTCCCTCTCTCTCTCCTCCTGCCCTCATCTCTCTCTCAAACTTTAAAAAAAATTAAAAATTAAAAAAATTAAAAATCAATAAAAAAATTGAAATATTCATATGCTATAAAATTTACCATTTTAAAGCATACAGTTCTGTGGTTTTTATTATATTCTCAAGGTTTTGCAACCATCACCACTTTCTATTTTAGAACATTTTTTTAACATTCCTAAAAGCAACTCCATACCCAGTAGCAGTCCCTCCTACCCCCAGTACTAGGCAACTACTCTTTGTGTCTGGCTTCTTTCTCTTAACAGTATTTTCAAGGTTCATCCAGGTTGTAGCATGTATCAGTATTTTTTTATACCTGAATAGTCGATATCCAGTTTTTTTTTTTTAATTTTTTTTTTCAACGTTTATTTATTTTTGGGACAGAGAGAGACAGAGCATGAACGGGGGAGGGGCAGAGAGAGAGGGAGACACAGAATCGGAAACAGGCTCCAGGCTCTGAGCCATCAGCCCAGAGCCTGACGCGGGGCTCGAACTCACGGACCGTGAGATCGTGACCTGGCTGAAGTCGGACGCTTAACCGACTGCGCCACCCAGGCGCCCCACGATATCCAGTTTTATGGCCATACCACATTTTGTTTATGCATTTATTTATTTTTTAATTGTTTATTTATTTTTGAGAGACAGAAAGAGAGTGTGAGCAGGGGAGGGGCCGTGAGAGAGGGAAACACAGAATCTGAAGCAGGCTCCAGGCTCCGAGCTGTCAGCACAGAGCCTGATGTGGGGCTCGAACTCGCGAACTGTGAGATCATGACCTGAACTAAAGTCGGATGCTTAACTGACTGAGCCACCCAGGCGCCCCTTGTTTACGTATTTATTAGTTGAAGGACATTTGGGTGGTTTCTACCTTTTGCTTATAATCAGTAATGCTACTATGAACATTTATGTTCAAGTTTTTTTTTTTTTTTTTTTT